ATCGGTGCCATCTTGGAATGTCCCCTGAAACTGCGGACGTATTTCACCAGTTGGTTTAACTGCGTTTCCTTGATTCACCGAGAGGCTGTCGTAGTAAACGATGGCTGACATAAACTCCGAAATCTCCCTACGATTTCTCGTCCTTCCTTTTTGCCTCTTTTTCTCTTCCATCCTCTTTCTTTCGAATCAAAGATTTTTTTATTATTCTGTCGTTGAATACAGTCAGATATAAATTGGATAAATTTCCAACAGGAACAGTAAAGGATGTGTTTCGCGAGCGCGTATCATTCGCAGATAGTGAGTGAAAATTATAAAGTACACCGGAATCGTTTTTGTTAAGTGTTATTTAAAGGAGAACGATGCTTTAATAAGTACTATTATAATACTATCATATCTCATTTACGCGCGGAAATTGAAATCGATTTTACAGTTTTCTTTGTTTGAGTATTTGAATTAAATTAAAGAGTTATTTCTAAATAGAGAGAGAAAGAAAGAGAAAGAGATTATTATACTTATAAAATTATTAAAGAAAAGTATCATAAAAAATGTAACAAACAAGACATAAATGAAAGAGCGAATGAATATATTTTTTCATATGTAAAGCAATCTTATAAAATAAATCAAAATTAAATTAAATAGCTTAATAATTTATTACAGGTACAAAGCTATATATATTTATATGTTAAAATTATCATACAAGATATTATAAAGATTAGTGTAAAAAATTGATAAAATAGTAATAATAAAAAAATATACACATAATTTTATCCATTTTGTTTTACAACAATGTATCTATTGTCTATAGAAAAATATGTACTTGTGTGATCATATTATATTTAATTATAATGGAAATTACCCCATTTTACTTTATACATTAATAAGCACGTAAGAAAGTACTAACATTGAATCATTTGTTATCACCGATTTCTCCCCATCTCATTTGTCGACATCTATCGTGATCATGGACGTAATACAGGTCGTGGAAATTTATGCGATCAAATATCTAACATAAATGGATGTCAAAGACGATCAAACATATGCGGTCGCTGTCTTGTTCAGTGGAGATAAAAAAATGACAAATTCTGGTGACAAAAGATCCTATTTTTTAGGCAGTGACTTTTGACTATTCGCACAACTTTAAAATGTGATCTCATACTTTATCTATTTCAATTTCATTGTTCCACATTTATCTTTATTAATGTTGAATACTCTAAATCTCTTATATATCTCTTATATATGACAAAATTGTCAAGATGGATAACAGTACAAAAGACAAAGTGGACAAATAAACATGAATATAGAAATGCTTCTCTTTTACGCTAGAATCTATGAGTCATTCATATAACTTCATTTTAAGTCAACTAGATGTTTTTCAAATTTTCAAAAAAAAAAATCGTGTCATGACTAGAAGAAAGTTTTTATTCGCGAATATATTTTTCAATTTTATACAAGTGAAAATTATAATAAAATAACGAGAGAATATCATGAGAAATTTCAATCCAGCAGGAAGTTAGTCTACTGCAATCTCGAGCGGACTGTTGAAATTGTCAGCTAAAAAGTTTTGTATCATTATGACGTTGCTAATTGATGACAATAATTCGTTTTTCTGTAATAACAAAGTACGCGTTGAACTCGAAACTTGAAACTTGCGACGTAGACGGAGATATTGTAGAAAATTTTCGCGGTCTTCCAGCGTTATTGCGAGGGTAAGATCTAGTAAGGGTGACGATTTCTTCTTGACGGCGATATAGAGTTTCTAAGATACGACTATCCGTTGTGGCAACCCTAACTCGTGCTTTATGTAATCCTGAATCTCCTTCAAATTTATATAGCTAATACACCTCGGGTGTACGTTTTCACTCCGTATTTATTAACGTCAAGATTATATCATATAATGGAGTCGTGCCAAGTCGTTTTATAATAAAATTTAATAACTAGGATCGTGAAGACAGGCCATACGCAGTAAATTCTAATGAAAAATTATTTTTTCTTATCATAGCGAAAGAGTGAGCCAACATTAAATCTTAGTAGTCATTTAAATTTATACGCTTCACGCTGTACAAGTATGTGTTAATATATGATACCATGAATTATTATTAATTCTAAAATTACAGGTCAAAATCATAACTAATGTGCTTATGTATATTATTTATCTGCAATCAGTTCCGAATTAGTTTAAATTTATTGCATATAATGTAAATAAGCTACCAAAATGATTTCATTCGTTTTAAACAACTTTGATCATTGAATTATAAATAATTATTTGCGATTGAATTTGATTATGACATTCTTTACTATAGACTTTTATATATTTTACAATGCATATAAGTAAATGCATTATAATAACAAATGAAATTTTAAAGAAAACTTTGTTATAGTGTTGTATCTCTCTTTTGAATACAAATAATACATAGGTATGTGTAGATATACATCCATACAATATGTTATTCACATAGCCAAACTTTTAATCGTTTGCATGAATTCTAAGTAGTTATGAAGTTAATTTATTCTTTCGAATTAATGTTTAAATTGAACATTTTTGGGTAAACATAGCATACGTTTTTTTACATGCACCAGATAGATCATGTTTTTCTTTTTTCATGAAAGTTATTCGTATGCAATAAACGCTACAAATTGTGATGCATGTCCTTTGAAATATTCGCGTACACGTTAATGAAACGGGGTGTAAAAATATTCAAACTTTCAATTATCCCAAAAAGAATTACAGTTACCCGAAATGACACGTGTAACACATATTTTGATTTGATAATATAATAGTTATGCACACACACTCACATTATTATATATATAAATAATTAAAATAATTTCCAGACACGTAAATAACTTTCTTATTTTTACACGTAACATAACTAGGTTCGTTCAGCAAACTCATTAGCAAATAATGAAGACTATTAACTATATTTTGTTGATATGTGTCTAGAAGCTATCATAAAATAATAAGTGAATAATAATTAGTATATAATCTAATATTAGCATAATATGTAATTGTAAAAAACTGAGCTATTAGTAATAATCTTTATTTCAAGATAATTCTTTCCTAAAATAATCTAGATAACTTTCAACTATAAAAGATTATTTTTAAGTGAAGATGATTTGTAATTGCCTTTCGTCTTTTGTCGTCGCGATCGAGACAAGAAAACGTCTACGAAGATATACGATCATCTTGCTTTCTTTTTGTAAGCTCAAGAACATTTCCAGTTTGCGATTACACCACACTAGGGAAAGTAGGACGAGAGTATAAAATTAAGAATGTGCATCTACGAGGATATAGTAAAGAAAAATAATTAACGAGTCGCGCGGAGAGATAAATGCACATAAAGCGCCATAAAATACAACTAACTGTAGATAGTACACATATCACGTTTAAAATTGAAATAACGCCTTTTAAATGCACTTTAAATGCATTTTTCAAGTTGTATTTACAATCTTTTATGCATAACATGATATTTGTGTTTATTACAATTATCGAATATACTTTGCATTTATTTCCACATATTATGAATTTTATATATTTCTTATGAGATTAATTCGATACATCGTGCGATAATTTTCACGCCAAGAGCAGTCGAGCTTTCATACGATTTGTTGTTGCTCGTGAAACCGTTCACGTACCCACGTATATCTCATGCAAGGGATGTGACATTTTATCTTCCGGAGTGCATTGAAATTCATAAACCGAACTGGGATTTGCCAACCCACCGCTTAGAATCAACGGTCTGACTGTGACTCGCTTCCCGCTGCTTGATTTTTTTTAGCAGCCATCCTTACATCATTCGGAAGTCACGTTTTTCTTTTATATATGTGGGAAGAGGAAAGACTACTATAGAAGAATCCGCGGGCGTGGATTTTTATTTAAATTTCTCTCGAAAAGAGAATTTTAAAAGAATCGCTTGCTACAGGTGCGTAAAGGCCGCTGGCTAAGTATTAAGTACTTGTGCTAAGTTAATTTCGTCTAAACCAACCTGAGAAGTAAGTAACGAAATATTCACACTATATGTTTGCTTTTCTCAATATAAGCAATATAACTTTGAAGGAGATTCGTGTCTTATAAAGCAATGTACGAGTTAATAATTTAATTATCATTCATGTTATGACTGTGCCCTTTGTATTTATTGAACATTTGTAATGAACATTTGATCGTTTTATTAGTAACTTGGAAAACGTGATATATAAGAAATTAATACATTTTGAATTTTGGTATGTAATTTATTAAATTTTAATCTGATTAAAATTTATTGACAATTAACATATGTAATTTTATTTTAGTATTTTTGGAACGTGTTTTTGATTGTTTCTGAAAATTACATGCATTCGTTGTAGGAACTATAAAGACATGACGTTGCTTGGAATCGTTTAATATACAATCGATTTTAGTAATAAATTATTTTAATATATTTTATTCTATCATAAATAAAATGTATTAAAATAATTTATTACTAAAATTGATTGTATATTAAATGGTTCCAGCGACGGGAAAGCTTATCGCGGTATTGTGATAGGAACTATCTGTTATTAAATGTCATTATTGACAATGTTGTTTTGTACAGATAATGACGATGCGTGCGCGCGCGCGCGCGAACGACTTTGGTGAATATTATTCACATAATAATATATTAATAATTATGTCGTTATTATTGAATATCAACTTTGATGAGTAATTTACGTTTCATCACACGTGGACTTGTATGAGTCTTTCATGAAAAGAATTTTCTCTTAAGCATTAATTAAAAAGAACTGTATTGATTAGAAAGAAACGCGAGAGTATAAATAGAGATGTAAAAATAAATTTCAATTTTTTTTTTTTTTTTCTATAAATTCTATGGCAATGATGAACGGTGAATTCCAATCTTTATGAGCGATACTTTGAAAGATAACATAAAAACGAAAGATGCTATCATTAACTTATCGTTTCATTTTGCACGAGAGTAATTAATAAATAACAAGAAATTGCTGTCCGATTTAAATCAACGCGTACATACCCTTGATGAAATCTACCGCCATCTCAAGACCGTACGTGTCCTTGTCGCAATCATCAAGTATATGTGCACCGATCTTAACTCCCGGGATGATCTCTCGCTGGTTGACAATATTCAAAGTGTAAAGCATCGCCTCTAATGCTTGCACACCTCCTTGAGGCATTACGGGTCCACACGTGACAGTATCTTCCCTCTCGTGAACCATCATTAGGCCACCCAGCAGGAGATCACCTTCAACGACTGCTTCCTTCTTAATCGGCCAGATAACGGGGATCTGGCCGTTCTGTTCCATCGATCGGAACTGACGACGTCGATGTCTGATCGGATGACGTAATATTGTGTCATCGCGAAAATTACTCAAATCTACACTCTTGCGATCGTTGTAGTGACGTAACCTCACGACATCCGTCATCGAATCCACATATTTATCTAATAACGGTATGCGCGTGATATCGGTCTTTAAAACGTCGAACTTTCTCGCCCATTGTTTGATAGATCTCGAGCGTCGATCGTCGGCCGAGCAGATGCAGCTCAGTAATGCCAAAAACAGAAACTTCATGACGTCATAATCGATAAATTATGTTGCTTGTTACTAGTCTCGGCTTTCCGACACGTTAGCGATTTTGATGTTTCCGTGGCTTTTGCTTGTCCGCTCCGGGCTTTGAATTCACGATGATTTACGTTGCTTCTCTTCCTTGGCAATACGAATGGGAGAGCGATATCAGCTTCGAACGGAAGATCGGAGGTCTCGCGCACGATCGACGGAAAGGACGTGCCAGCGGAGGAGATTTGATCGATCTCGTTTTTCGTATTTCGTATGTATAACATATATCAGAGGTGAGCAACAACTGACTCACAAGTTGAATGCTGCGCCATGCTATTTTCAATTCGATGTCACTTCAAGATTAAGATGTCAATGTTAAAAATCGACTACGTTGAAAAAAATCGGTTATAATTTAGAACATTGATATTTTTAGATTCTAAAAATATAGTTCTTTAAACTTATACTGTCAATACACACATGTTTGTTTGAAATATATTTAAATTTAAATGTAAATGTTAGGAGTAGGGTGATGAAAAAATATTAATGATCATCAAAATTTAATGAAAAACAAAATTTATAAAGTTTACGATTTAAGATATATCTTGTGATTTACAGAGAAGATTTGTATTCTGAGAGATGATATGTCGTAACATATGCTACTAGTATGCTAATATAAGAGATCTTGCGGGTACAGAGGCAACGTGTACACGTGTCGCCATAATGTTTTGCGTAATCTTTCATTTGCTTTTATTATACACGACCTGTCTTTCCTAGTGTTGCACATTCATTTTACGCTTCGTGAAATTTTATGTATGACCTTTATGCTATCACAATTTTTCAACATTTTAAAAGAATAAATTGTAGCGTGTTAACGCGTTTGCTTGTTCAAACGTTTGCCGATTTGAGTTGCGTCATTTAGGCACAAAAGTCAGAATGGATTTATCATCGACCTGGATCTCACTATTGTTTTCACGACGAGTTATCACTCCTTCTTCTACTCTCGAAAAAAAGATAATATTCACTGCTTATTACGCACTCTCTTGTTATTTTTTTAAGTTTAATAATATTTAGTCAATTACTTTATGGACGATCGTAATCAATCATTTCTTTCTCGTTACTGAATACTTCATGTTGATATACTAACGATGAAATAAAAATAATTTCGAACATAACATGTCAATTGTACTTTGCTGAACTACAGGAAACAAAACGCAAATCTCGTCAATATAGTTCAATAATATTGAAATGTCGAGCCAAATGTTATACCGAGATCGTTATCCAACGCCATCGGTTTTGCGACGATCCGACGCTATCGGATATTTTGATAGATCTTCGAGCTTCGAACCCGCAGGTGGTATCGTGCAAGCCGCAAGTTTAAATTGCTCGGTCACGAAGCGCCGCGTTGCATGGTCGAGAAATTGCAGATGTGCGAGCGCGGGCGTGCGGTCGCGCGTCGATAACGACTCCGGGTTTCGTGTAATTAAAAACTTTGACGTGACTACGTCGCTGGAAGTTGGACTGCGTCGCTCCTGATTTGCGAACTTCCCGGTTTGTCGGACGATTGCCAAAACGATGGACCGAGGTCGGCCGTAATTCGTTGTTGCGGTATGTATACCTGTTGCGCGGCTCAAACTCCGACGGAAGTTTGATGCCCGCGTTGCGCCGCGCCGGAACGCTCTTGCACGATTTCTTTCTGCACGCGGACATGCGTTGTGACTTGCGGAAAAAAGCTTTATAATCTCATGCGTGATCGTTCAATGCGGGCATGACCAAAGTGTCACTCCTAGACGACCTGTTGCTCACTGTCTCCGTAGCCGGTAACGTATTTGTATAGCAAAGAAGAGGAAGGAGGAGATGACTTTCAAAGTAAGAAATACAAATTATATTAGATGTAGCTCACAGTATCTTTGAAATAAGTTTCGTGAGTGTGAAATTAATTTCTCTCTAACCAAAAATCTCTCAGTTATGTAAATATTATATATGTATATATTATGTAATTATTATATGTATATATTATGTAATATTGATGGTAAAGGTGTTAATTAAAGTGCCTGATAGTCGAATACAGCAAAAGTTTTATACTTGAAGTAATTTTAAAATTGACTTTTCAAAAAGAAAAATTCTATCTGTCATGATAGATTTATTAAAACATCTGTTACGAGAGAAAAAGCGTGATAATTTGTTACATATTCTATATATTTTAATTGTATTTGAACTTTTCTTTATCAATTTAGTAAATCAATTCAGTATTAATGTAGTAATATTCTTACGACATAAACGTAATTTATAATATTTTGATTCTCATAAATGTATAATATATAATGTATAATGTATAATTGATGATCTTTGTTACCAATAGAATATGTGTAATATCAGTATGTTATCCGTGAAAAGTTAACGGTTCTCTTGGTCAAATGATAACAATATGTATTATTGATTGCGAGTTCACAAGCCATGCAAATGCATTTAACGCTTCCCGTGCTCTTTTAATCCCCTCTAGTAATATTTTACACGAGTAATTTTATTTATAATCCAAAAATTTCATAATATCCAGTGTCGCAATAGACAACATATAAACTACTAAATAACGATAACAGTTCGGTAGCAATATCGAAGCGTACAGGAAAGTCGATTTGATAGCGATAGGAACAACTCGCCCGTTTATTAACGTGTTCCGTTGTTTTTCGGAAGTTAAATTTACGCTGATTGCGAAACATCGACTCGTTGAATCAATTGGTTTTCACCGTTGGTTTAGCATGCGATAACGAATCGGAATCGTGAGATCGATAATTGTCAGCAATAATGCGCATGTAGTTTTATAAAATAATGCATGGCACAAAAACTAAAACAATAATGAATAGAAATCATAATTAAGAGAAAGAAAAATAAAATTGGTAAATGGAATAATTTTACTATTATGACATCATTTAACAAAATCTTTTAACCTTAAATATAATTAATTATTTGTGTTTTATGTAGAGCAGTCGATATCGATATGCATATTGGTATCATTCTTCCGTTGTTTTGATCTACATTTACGATAATTAGCATAATTTAGTTTGCTTACATAATGATTAAATATATGTGACTATTAATGTTATGTAGTAGTTTATTATATGCATAATGTGCTGGTTATTATAATTAAATTTATTCGAACTATCTACGAAATGCATTTTATCTAATTGTCATTTTGAGATATATATTTATTAAAGATTATTTATTCCCTTTGATATTGTATTTATCATTATTCGCAATATTGTATTGTGTGCCTGATTATCGGATTAAATAGAGAAAGAAATAAATAGATAATAGGTCATATGGTTGTGATAATTTGCAAAGTATACCAGTTATGCCACGGCTAATTAAGCAGCGGAGTTAATCGTGATTGCAAACCATCCAATTAATTGTGATTCACCGAATTCGGGCCAAAATGCGGCAAGGATCTTCATCGAACTTGCATCAAATATGTCACAAAGCGACCGCACAATTCGGCTCAGAGCTAAGTGAAATATATAATAGACAATCTTACTCAAACTATCGTCGTAAATTACTCAAACCTCAATAGGATTCTAGATCCTATTTCCTGAAGTTTCTGTTTGTAAAGAGAGAGACAAAGTTACCATGGATCGCAACTTTCGTTGGTGCTACTTGCTTTACGTAGTCAGAATTTTTAACGATGTCTTTTGCAGGAAAGTTAAATTATGTCCTGATCACGGTTTGGAAAAGTAATTTATTTGAGATTACACTACGACGATAATGTCGAAAACTTATTTCGAATTACCCAAGGACATACATGTTAAAGTAAGCTGGCTGCAACATTTAATATAATTTTTTTATTACGAGCAGAAACTGTAGGGTGTGTCGTAGCATATTTTACCAAAGTACAGGGCTGAAAAAAATATGTAGAAAAGTATATTTCATATGTTATATGATATGAATATTTCATATGTTATATGATATGATATTATTATTCACTTTTGAAATATTTCTTATATATTATTGAAACTTTATCTTAAAAAATGAAGGATATTACACATAATCTTTTAACCTAGCAGATTCATGTAAGTTGCAAGAGATGCATAACTTTGACTTAACTCCTTGTTAACCAACGAAGGATTTCACTCTCCATATTAATTAAATTGAACACTGATTAATCAAAAAATATATTCACGATTTCTTTGTCCATTTGCTTTAATGATAGAAAAATCATTTTTTATTCCAGTATAAACATTTGTTTAATAGTTTTACGGCGATTGTTTGAATAATTCTTTTTGTTAGAAATGCGTATTTCACAGGTATATATTTCACAGGTATATATTTCAAAAAATTGTTGAAAGAGAAAGTCTGCGTTTACAACAATGATAAAACAAGAGATAATTATTTAGTGCACAAAACAATCTGAAAGAGCGAATTTTTCTTCTCTATTTAGATGTTTTACACTATTTATTTTTTTGTAGATAATTTTCCGAATAAAATTTAGATAAAATTTAGATAAATGTATTTGAGTGAAGGGGAATAATTGATAACGATATAATACCATAGCAATAAATCGTCGATACGATGTCACATACGCATGAGATAAACATGCAATCGAATTGCAAATCCGAAGATATTCCATCATCAAGGCTTCAAAAGCGTTTCTTTGATAGTTAAAGTCCATTTATTTGATTATTCATTATCTTCATTTGGGATTTTATTCCATAGTGCGCAAGAATAGTAAGTAACATTAATTTAATACAACTTTTCCTCACGTTATCCGACTTTTTTGCAAAACTTTACGAATTTTCAAATTAAAATTTAGAAGATACTTTGCAACAAGCTGTCATCCTTTCCGTCATTCGTATGACACGCGGATCACCGTCGTAAAAACTCGTAATCGCGAATGATGGGAAACGAGAAACGGTATCGACGGGTAGAATCGGTGGCTATTTGATTCACAGGATTATCGTGCCGTTTGTAACAAATTTTATGTCATATGTTTCGACGAAAATTCTCAGTTTGTCGCGTTTATTAAGCCCGATAACAATTTGAA